TCTTTCCCTTTGCTTACCTTTTTATTTACCACAAAAATTACATTCCCCTTTTCACACCAAACCCACACCCCTCTCAAATTGATCACTCCATTCCACCCTCTAATGTAATCTATTCATAAGTAACCATTTTATTTTTGGGACCTTGAGAGACATAACATAACATTCATTTATCCAACTTTTGGCTTCACCACCCTTCTCTTTTTTGGGGCTTGATTGTCTTTGTGCTTGATCTGTTCCTTGATGGAAAACCAATTCTTTCTCAATGCTGGTGTGCCCCCTCAGCTGCATTTTGAGCCTTCAGCACCACCTCCTTGTCCACCCTCATGGCAATCACTGTCTTCTGCCATGGATGTTCAAGTCACAGTTTTGAATTGTTCGACTGAGCAGACCCAGGATTGCTTCTACACCCCAACATGGGACAAGTCAACGGATCACGGTCTTCAGTTTGATTCAGCACTGAGTTCAATGGTGTCTTCTCCTGCAGCTTCCAATTCCAACATGTCAAGTGAGAATTTTGTCATCAGGGAATTGATTGGAAAATTGGGAAACATTGGTGGTGGTGGTGGTGATGAGATCTCACCTCATTCTCAGCCTTTGGTTTCTGCATCTCCCTACATCAATGGCAATAACAGCACCAACACTTCATGTTACAGCACCCCTTTGAGTTCTCCTCCAAAGGTGAACATGAACAAGATCCCCTCGGGATTGAACCACTTAGTGAAAGAGGGCATGCCCTTGAATTCCAGTGTAGCAGAATTCTCAGCTGATCCTGGCTTTGCTGAGAGGGCTGCAAAGTTTTCTTGCTTTGGAAGTAGGAGTTTCAATGGGAGGACCACCCAATTGGGGCTCAACACTAATGCTGAATTGGCTCAGAGATCTTCTCCATTGGTTGAAAATGGGAAGCTCCCTAGAGTCTCAAGTAGTCCATCATTGAAAGTGCCTGGATCAAACAAGAATTCTCCATTGCAAGACCTAATGGAAGTTGCCAATTCCCAAGAGGAATCCACAATCTCTGAACAAACTCCAAATGGGGACACTGGGGTGAAACCTTCCCCTTATATCAACTCTAGGAAAAGAAAAGGTCCATCCAAAGGAAAAGCCAAGGAAACTTCAACCTCCACCAACCCTCCTACGGTAAGGACTTCTCATGTCAAAATTCAAAATTGTTTTGTTTTACACTGTAGATTCAAATGGGCATGTCCTAAATCCCAAAGGGTCTTTCACTTCAGGCTGCTGAAGCTAGTGAAGACTCAAATGCAAAGCGCAGCAAGCCTAATGAACGCGAGGGAAATGAGAATGGCCAAGTGAAGGCAGAGGAAGAATCCAAACGGGGTGCTAGTAATGCTAATGATGAGAAACAGAACAAGAGTAACGCAAAACCTCCGGAGCCTCCAAAGGATTACATTCATGTTAGAGCAAGAAGAGGACAAGCCACGGATAGTCATAGTCTAGCAGAAAGAGTAAGAAATTAAGAATCACTGTCATTTTCTTTCTCAACCATGTGCTGTATTTGAGTTTGACCCTGTTAAACTAATTTTGAAATAGGTTCGGAGGGAGAAAATCAGTGAAAGAATGAAGCTTCTCCAAGATCTTGTCCCAGGTTGCAACAAGGTGCATGTGGCAATAAGCTAAATCAGAATTCAAACAATTCAGTTGGTTTTTTGTCTATAAATGTGTTCCTTTACTAATTTGGTTATGAATTGTTTGTTCCATGTAGGTCACTGGCAAAGCACTTATGCTTGATGAAATTATAAACTATGTTCAGTCATTGCAGCGCCAAGTTGAGGTAAAAATGTCTTAGCAAATAAGCATCTCAAATGATGTCATAATAATGTTTAAGATTTCTTGCTCATTAAGAATGCCTTTTGCTGTTGCAGTTTCTGTCTATGAAGTTGGCTTCTGTTAACACCAGGCTGGATTTTAGTATTGAGAGTCTAATCTCAAAAGATGTAAGTTTCAGGGCTCTAGACAATGGGTTTGCTTTTTTCACTAAAAATAAATAAAAATAATTGCTTTTTCCTGAGTTGGGATTTGTTGGCTTTTTGGTGATTTCAGATATTTCAATCAAATAATTCTTTGGCACACCCAATATTCCCAATAGATTCCTCAGCACCAGCCTTTTATGGGCAACACCCTCAGCCAAACCCAGCAATCCACAATAACATTCCTAATGGAACTGTGACCCACACTTCAGTGGACCCATTAGATACTGGTTTGTGCCAAAACCTTGGCATGCAGTTACCACACCTAAGTGGGTTTAATGAAGGTAGCTCTCAGGTAATCAATTCCTTCTAGTTTCTCTTCAAAAAAGTGGAAGAAAAAAAGTGTATTTTTTTTTTAAAGTTGTTTCATGTGCACTTTTTCTAATTCTTCTTATCCAATGATTTCCAGTATCCAATAACATTCTCTGAAGATGACCTCCACACCATTGTTCAGATGGGATTTGGCCAAACTGCAAATAGGAAAACACCATTACAATCTCAGAGTTTCAACGGTATAAAGCAAAGAGAAAATATGTTATATGTTAATGACACATCATTTTCATTAGGCCCAACAAATTGATCTTTATGTTAATTTTTTTTGTCCAATGTAGGCTCAAATCAAGTACCCCTATGAAAGTTAAGCTCTGATCACCATTCATTACGCCTGAATTGAAGCTCAGAGGAAAATCATAGGAAGACTGCTGTTGTACACAACAAGAAGAGATTTAATTTGAACGACCCCTTGAATTATTAAGCCATTATTTTCATCACTAGGTCTAATAGAAGCCTCTTTTGTCCTTATGTTAGCCATTTCTTTTCTTACCCTTAATTTCCATGATTTTAATTTTTAATCATCAGGCTCAGGGGTAGTTCTTCTCAATTTTAATTTTTTATTTTTATTTTTACAACTATTCACTGTAAAATCTTTAGGACCGATTCTGTATTCTCTTGGTGCAATTTCTTATTATTACGGCACCAATTGTAAGATATAGTGCTAATTAAAGGAGTTTTTCTACTACCCGCTATTATGATTATGATCCCTCCTCACTTTGTCTATTATTGTAAGCTTTATATAATTCATACATCACATCAACCCACAAAGAATTTTCGTGGGGCTTTATTAAAATCGCATTAAAGGTCATGTCAATTAACCTTCTCCTAAATCGCGTAATCTGGTCGATGTGATTCTCACTTGTGTTGCTAACCAGCTGTATTAGTGGGACCATTTTCTTATCTTAAAATTCTAATTCTAATTTAAGTGATTAGGACATTTGGTTAATTTTAGCTGTGGTCAACTATAATTTCTGCCCTTTTCTTTGTTTTTTTCCCTGTAACTTTCTTTGGTTCACCAAAAGCGGAAAATCTCCCTTCTTATATTGTATTCATCCCCTCCAAGGACCTCCAACAGTTTGTACCATAGCAAATTTTGTCGAAACTAAAAGAACAAAATACTTTTTTTACATTGTACTTGGTAGTATAGATAAACAAGGGGAGAGAAGATAAAAGTTGGTGGGACTCGTCTTTTTTTTTCTTTTTTTTTTTTTTTTTTTTTTTTTACTGAATTAATGGAATAGAAAAATCCAAGGGAAAAGTATTAGAAATTGTGGAGGTTAGAGGTTAGAAGTTAGAAGTTATAACCACCCCCTTTCAGAGAAAACACTAATTTTTTACTAATATGTGTGAACATTAAAGGAATCCCAGGTTGGCAGTGGTGAACTTCTGACTAGGCCCAATGAATCATTGAGCTTTATAATTTCACAACTTTTATTATTAATTTTATGAATAAGAAAAGGGGTTGTAGTGGAGTTCAGGTTTGGAAAAGATACTCTGGAGATATTACACTAATCTTTTTCAGAGAGGTTGTTAGCAAAAATCCAGTTTGTAAGGTTTAACAAAAGATTTCCGGGTTCTGCTCATGCTATTTTAATATTGCTGGGTCTATAATTGGTTTCAGATTAGTGTGATTTAATTATAGAAAAGATGCTTTGAATGTGGTGCTGTATACAGCAGAGTTGCACATATTTTATTATTATTGTATAATACCTAATTTTTATTTCAAAAATAAAGAAGATAAACAAATCGCAATAGAAAGTGTTAATCTGACAACCTTGTCTCCAAAAACTACAAACGACTAATCATATAGGGACGTGTCAAAGGATGGATTGATGGATATTTTTATTAAGAATTAATGTGAACAATTATTAAAGAGACAAAAACAATTACTACATTAAATTAATAGATTTTTAATTGTATACATTAATTTACATTGCATTACAGATTAAATAATGTGATTTTTTTAATCTTTGATATTATTTATATAGCTCTTTCCTTCTCTATTATTCCTTAACTATTCAGTATGCGCGTTCCTTCATTTGAATTTTTAATATTTCATAATTTATGCTAACAATGATGGTAACTAATAAATGAAACAAAACTTTGACAAGGAACATACAGCGTGTAGCAGTAGCTGGTGCCCAAGTTTAATCACTTTAACAATTGAATTTTCCCTTCAATAACATTTGTTAGTTTCTTTTTTTAATTTTATATTTTGTCACAGAGTATTCTATTTATTAATCCATAAAGAGAAGCCTGTGAAGCAACAGCATAATTGGCTTTGGTTGAGTTAAGTTGTCCATTGTGCTTAATTTTCTCAATTATGCCAATTTGTTTTTTTGGGATAACTGATCCCATTTCTTTATGACTTTATTACATAAAGTTAGTGCAAAATCAACCTGAAGACCAAGAGTTATATGAGATTGGCCAACAAAAAGTGCCAACTTAATCAGACAATCTAGCATGGCAGAGTTTTATCAATTTGATAAAGCTGGCTTTCAGTACATGAACCATTAAGCTTTTTCTTCAGTGAATTGCTTGCATAAGCACTTTAAAAAGTTCTAAGCAGTTCTGATAAAAAAAATTATATTCCCCTTTAGAGGGTAAATAGTGATCATAGATTTAATGCTATACTTTTTGTTTTTCATTTTTTTTTTTAACTTTAATTCCTTATGTTGCTTGTAATATAAATCTCCGTTTCTATTTATCATCTTCAACCACTGCAGAAAATTTAAGTTCAACTGAAATGGGTCTTCCTTTTGCCTAATTTTAGGTTGAATTTTGCAGTTCAATTGTCATAATCAGATACTGAAATCCATGTTCCTAATAGAAAGATAAAGAAAGAAAAATGTGCTTTCAATGAAATAGCTTTAGATTGTCCTTCTAAAATGACGAGAAAATGAGGCCCTACCAAGCGAGAATGTTTTGAGAGATTTATAAGGCACTATAATGATCATTAGGGTAGGTGCCCTACTAAGTAAAGTTGTCACTGCTATATCACCCACTTCCCACTTATTTTTGGGACCCCTTTCCCTCTTTCACCTTAGGATCAAGGAAATAACTTGTTTTTGGGGTTTTTGGCAACTTTACTTCCTTTGTTTGGGGAGAAAATCAAAGGCCCTATTTTTTTTTATAAAAAAAACCCATCATTTGTTTTACCAACCATCCATTATTTCATTCTCTACAACTTTAATATTTTATTTCCCTATTTTATGCATTTCAAAAACCCATCATTTGTTTTACCAACCATCCATTATTTCATGCTCTACAACTGTAAGATTTTATGTCCCTATTTTATGCATTTCAAAGCCTCTCACCATCAACGACCAGTTTTTCCCCCTTTAATTACCATTCAGACTTTTAAGAAAAAATTATGTCAATAATTTGAGTCAACATCAATGCCCATTTTCGTTTCTCACTTAAATTTGATTCAACACTTTTGTTAGCTAACTTTAGAGTAACACCCTTGAGAGTTGAGACACACAATTAAGTTTAAGGACAACACCTACCAGTGACAGTGAGGTTCTATTCAACACGAGACACGTTGTGCATGGGTCCCCACCTACCAAGGGTACCATTTCTAAAGATTAATGTTCGTGACATTTTCCATCATGAAGGAATAAACCGTGTGGTCAAACACATCATAGGATGGATTTTACAAGGGAAAACATATATTTGGAAGAACACAATGGTCTTCATTTGTGGTAAGTGGTAACTATTTTCTGCTTTAGTTACCACTCAACTTTAATTGTTAATTTGTTACACTTTATTTTATATTATTCACGAGGTCTTCTAATAGATTTACCCCTTTCCTCTTTTTCATCATGTATGTTTATAAACGAACTAGAACATTCTGTCTTATTTTATCATCACTTTCTGTCTTTTCAATAAAATCATTACTCAAAGGACTGTAGTGTTGATATAGGACATGAATTACTTGAGAGAAATGCCAACAAAGTCACAATATATATTATCATTAATTAAAAAATCTAATAAAAATTATTCAAAAAATATTGTGACTCACACCTTCATTTCTTAATCAATGAGTTTTATTCATAATTTTGTGGTTTGAAAAATTAATTAATGATAAAAAATTGTTTACACTTGTATAATATTACTGTCACATCAGAACACAATTTTATCTCAAGTTTTATTTGAGTTTTTATAATTGGTCAGCGGAGGGGAGTGATTAATGCATTTGTGTTGCTTAAATTATGTGCATTAATGCATTTGTGTTGCACAGTAAATTAATGGCCCTCACGTGGCATCGTTGAATCGTGGATATCGAAAAAGAGTTCAGAAAATATCAAAGAATATGAGAAAATCATTGAACAACATTTGAAATTGCATGAAAACATAGATACTACTGTTAATCTTTTAGGTAATGCCATCCACTAAAAATTATTTATGTAATGCCACGTTTTCTTGAGTGCAAGACAAGAAAATGACATTAGACCCAAATAAAGAGAGAGGTGAAAGCATACAGCTGTGGTTATTATCTTTGCTTAAGAAACCTGATATGAATTTCAAACATCAATCGATTCATTGTGAAAGAACATCATTCTCCAATCAGAAATGCATCCTCTAATCAGGTCCAACCCTGGTGTGGCCATTTCAGGTTTACAAGTCCTTAAGTGAAAATTGAAACTTAGAATAGAGGAAAACTGACAAATTAAGATTCCATCATAATAATTTGGATCCAATCCTCTATTCATGTAAGATCAATCTATATTATCTCCAACACCATCAAAACGCATCCTGTTTAGTCACTGCATGATAATGAACAAATATATAAATTAAACCAACAATCTCTCCTTTGTCATTATTTGTCATTGCTTTAATATCGCTTCAAAGATAAGCACGCCTTCCACTATTATTAGACCAAAAGTTGTAATTATAAGAGATGGTAAGCTTGAGAATCATGAGAGACACGATCATCTCAAACTAAGTCAACATTCAAATTATTGGACAAATTTTGCTGCCCAACACATTTTTAATAACAAATCAATCAACCATATATCTGTTGCAAGAATTACCAACCAAAAGTAATCGACCTAGTGTAAAATCAATTGACAAAATAAAAATCCCTTCAGGTTTTCTACCACAAGGGTTAATTATTAGATATGGTAGGCTTGTTAGTCAGATTTAATTAGCTTCTGGAATTTAATATAAATTCATTTTTTTATACCATAGTCTATATTTAATATAAATTAAATTTTTAATAGTATATTATCATATAAAAATGTATTTTCAATTACTATAAAGTATATCCGATTAGAGTAAACCTATAATATACTAATTTAATTCCTGTATCTAACTTAAAACGGTTATTGTATATCACTTTTTGTAGGAGAAACTGATATTATTTTATTCGAGACAATTAATCATTAATAAACGTGGTGTTACAAGTTCAATTAGTGCTCTTTCTGTGTTTGTATAGGGTTTAGATGTTTTGGATGTGTTTCTGCTGTATGAAGTTATTGACACGTTCATAAAGTCTTATTTCCCTTAAAAAGCATAGAAAGGGAAAGGAAGAATAAGAGAAAAAGAGACCAACAAATGTTAAAATTACAAAATCGTTAACCCTCTGTCTGCTATGTATGTTCCCTTTTAGGCCACAGTTGTTGTGATGAACAACAGATTATTTATATGATTAACTAATATAACGTAATAATGCATGGATCTAAT